AAGGGACAAATTGCTATTAAATTGCCTGACAATTGCCAAATGCCATAAATCGAACAGCAACGAGACCAATGTCCAATAGTCAGAGGGGTCACCCTATCCCTCCCTCTCTCTCCTGCCCAGCTTGGACACCCTCCCAGCAATCCACTTTTAATGGTCTGGTTTTCCGCTTGGTTAACTCAATTTGCGTGCCTACTTTCAATTAGGTTTCCGCTTGGTTTTATTCTTTATTTTTGTTAGTTTGTCAAAAGCTCATTTCACTTAAATAACAAATAGAAATGTGTTAAAGTACGCATGCTCGACTTATGGTTACCCTGTAGTCAAATGGATTCGGTTGCTCAGGCACTTAGCTTAAGCTGAATCAGCCGAACTGAAGTGAGATTTTAACCTTAGGTTGATCAGGAATATATGAGCTCTATGAAGTCCAAGTTACATTCAACTGATATTTACACAGTTATTTCATATGCCCTTATCTGCTTCTCCAACGTTGAGAGGGTATCAAAATGAATGTTATTTGTTTGTAGCAAATAAAATAACTATTAACAGTTTCTGTCTGGGGTTCAGTTCCTTTTTTTGGCTTTTATTAAGTTTTCGTTGAACTCGTAAAAATAGAAATGTTATAGTTTTCAGTTGGTGTCTGTGCCACAAATGGGTTTTGACGACAGTTGACTGCTTGCCTACAATAGGCGGGGGCGTGACAGGTGCAGCTCAACAAACGAAAGGCACATCGCGCTGCAACCAAGCAGAACAACGAGCGTCTTGCTGGGTAACCCGATACCAAGTTGGACCCACCCAGAGAGTAATTCAACAGTCGATTGACTAATGAATCAATTAAAATGCCTTTTAGCCAGACCTGAATACCTGACTTTGGTTTTAAGTTTTTGCCCACATTAGCGGCGTTTGCACAGTGCCAAATTTATCACTCGTCTTTAAGGAGCTGCCAACAAATGCAGCGAAGGCCATCAAAATGCGTCGCTGGTTTTATCAATGCGAATGCATCAGGCGCAGGATACGCGGGAAATTATTTCAGCCAAATAATGGAATTTAATTCGACATCCGACAGGCGACAAATTATTTCAGCCAAATAATGGAATTTAATTCGACATCCGACAGGCGACAAGAGTCCCCACAAATCGAACATCGCGCGTCGCGAGCCAAAACGTTTCGAACGACTAAAACAGAACTGAAATTGAGCTTGTCCGAAGTGCAAGCACTCTATAAAGCTCGGCCTTGAATGTGAGATTAAGAAGCTTTTTAAAGCAGGTATTATCTTGGGGAAATAGATATAACAATCTTGTAATAGGAGATGCCTACTGTGAATGTATCTGGAAAAACAGTATTTTTATGATATATGACATTGTAAGTCCGGTGTTGATAAGACTTTGCTTACCTGTAGAACGCCTGGTAAGGCCAGTAAATAAAAATTGAGGAGAAGATTACATAAAATGTTACCAGAACGTATTGTTACCCCAATAATTTAAATATAACTTTGATATATAGTGGTCCGAAGTTATCCAACCCGATTTTGTCATAAAATTAATGGCAGGAGCTTTTAGACTAAGAGACTAGTTTGTATAGAAGCAGGCATACATTTGATACTGATCAATAACTATATATCTTTACACTTTCCATGACAAAACTTTAAAATCCTCTAGAAGGGTATATGCACTTACTTATCCTAACAGACCTCGAAATCCACACTCAATATACATGATCTAATATTCTGCGATTCCAAGGGATTGTATGCTATAACCATAGATCACAATAAATCGAATGCAATATTTAACACACTTTGATAACAAAGTCATGTTTGCTTGGCGTTAACAAACGCCTTTGGTACCTGGCCGGCTGCTGGCAGTTGATGTGTGACACCTTGTCCCTACTCAGGCGCTGCCTCGCTTCCTCTTGACCCCGCACCCGTCGCCCACCAATAGCAAATGGACAATAGCAGGGAGCGTGTTCCCTCTTTGAATGTGGCATTATTGAACTGTCAATGGCTGTGACAAAGGGTTAAATGTGTCACAATCGAGTAGTTACCCAGGGTTTTTCTACTTTTTTAGCAAAGGGTCTCAGAGCATTAAACAATGTTTATTGTTGGAAATACATATTAAAAATTTATACTCAAGCTTGAATGATATATAAAATGTATTTTAGTTGGCTTTCACCTTACCTAATATATCTCTCTATCTTTATGGTTAAAACATAAGCTCTTCGAATCTAATATATATGCTTTCTCTATTGATTTCTCATATCGTATATGAGAATCGCATAGAAGACTTCTAGCAAAAAGCTTAGTGCACAAGTAAAAAAATGATGGGAATATTTTATACCTAATCGAAACACGAAATATTTATGGCATGAAATTGGCTACAAAGAACAGATAATTTTACTTGAGCTTGGCAATTCGATGCTTTTTGTGGATCAGTGTAGAGCGACGAGAAGCTCATCAAGGTGAGTCGGCAGAGAAGGGGAACAGGGTTTGTTTGTCTGTCAGCCAACTTGGACCTGTGTGCATAATCATCTTTGGTAGTTGGACACGTCACTTTTCGTGTTTGATAAGGATCCGCAGCGAGAACGAATCCAAAAGCAAAGACAAGGCGAAGGCGTGCGCCCGAATATATGTATATTCGAATTTTATTATGCATGACAGCTCCAAGAAGAAGAACTACAACAACAGACACGCCCACTGCCCCGGCATAAAGTCAAACTTCTGTTGGGAAGAGGAGGAAGGGGTAAATGGGTAGCGGGTTTTGGGTACCTGTTTGACAGCGGGTTGCCGGCCTTTTGGGGCACCGAACCGAATGCTTAGCCATGTGAAAAAAGATTGCGTTTTTCATATTTTAATTTTACTTGTTTAACGTTCGCATACGATTTTCGAATATCGATAAGCTGCAGGGCGGAACATTTCCCTTTATTGTACTTCTTGTTGTTGTTCTGGGGCATGTTTTCTGTACGCCGTATGCATGATTATGTAACATTTTCCTACACCCATTCCTTTCTCGTTCTCCCGATTTATATTTTGACAAATGATTCCTAAATGAGTGGACACTTTTCTCTTCACCTTCCAGCCAGCTGACGGAATTCTTTGGAGTCAATAAAAATGAAGCCTGTGTAAATATTTTTGACTTCTGGCAGCAGGTAACGGCAAACAAGCATGTATTTAATTAATCAATTCGCTTCAAGATACAAACAAAAAACAAAAACGACGATAAGAATATCCAGAATATCAAGAAAAACAACGATTGAACAACTTAGGCTGACAAGAGAGACTACTCCAAAAAAGTCCCAACTGTATATTAGAAATTCAAACAAGTGTCATCTAAAGGTTAAAATGTCTTCATTTGCATACACACACATACATGTACGTTCCACAAAGCAAAGCAAAGGCAAAAAAGAAACAATTGCTGCGCAAAAGTATTTCGGCTACTCAAAGCCGACAAAATGCCGATTATTTATATGCGCTAATACCTATAACGTTATCATATTGATAAAGGGAAGACTATATACATGCATTCATATGTGAATACAAATTTGGGATAGATCATGATCAGCGCTAGAAAACTAACAATACGATCGTAAGTAAGAGCGCAGCAGCGGCTGCCAACGATTTTTTTGTATTTTTACTCAAAAGTTGTTAATTTACACACTTTATACTTTATATATTTAAAACAAGTAAGAGGTTCTAGTAGGGAGCTCCCGACTAGGGAATATTCTGCACTCTCTTATTCCAACACCAAATGCAGTTCGCGCAACGTGCTCGTTTGTATTAATAAAGATAAATTAAAAAACAAGTTCTCTTAGCAGGGCTGGAACTCGCAACTAAACGCATTACTTGCTGACGACTATACTCATCAGCCACACCAGCCAAACAAAATATATCATTTTACCCGGTAAGGCTCGAACTCTCGACAGACCGCACCACTTGCTATGCCTCTACTCAACATCCACATCAATAATTAAGTATTATTGAGAAAAAAAACTAATTAAAATAGCAGCACAGAAAACAATCGCAATTGCAACTTGTTGATAGAATTCGAAGCAGACGCGCATGAATGTGTGTGTACATGTATAGAGAGATTCTTGGAATTTACGCTAGGTGCCCCATCCAATTGAGCAGTAAAACATAACTTCAGTTTTTTCTTAACCGATCTTTATCAGATTTTCTAAAGTATATCTTATTGTACCATACAATATTTGTGACATGGACTCTGAAATGAAAAGTTTATGTATCATTTCAAATGTTTTTTTTTTTTAAATAATACTTACAATTAACACCGAATAAAAAAAATTAATATTATTGCAAATACATAACTAACTAACCCATATCTATAATTATGAGTTTATTCAAAGTTTACTAGTTGAGTAAAAGTTGCACTTGCAAGAATCACAAGTAAAAGGAAACTAAACAATTAACAAAAGACGCCCGCGCCGCTCATTGAGCTTATTGCCTATACATATCTTGACTGAAAAATCTAGGGAACTCAGCTTCTTTTTATTGTTCGTTACAAATTTTTGAGACGAAGCATAGACCTCGTAATAAGAAATTCTTTAACATTTTTGTTTTGATCGTCATGCATAGAGTGACAATTCGCTACGAATTTTCTAACGACTTGTAATGCATAACATCATTAGTAGACATATTTTTCTGGGGGGTTTCGCATGACCGATCATTGGCGAATTACCTAACGAAGGGTGATGCATCAGATCGTTAGTATAGGATCACCGCTTGGCACCATCAGAACTATAGGAATTATTTTTGATTGTCAATTAAGTCTAGCAATATACTACTTTAACAGAAGAAAAATAAACAGAGATATCATCGCAGTGCCAAAAATTGAATACCCATTCCAGCATTTAACATACTGTGCAGTCTTCATTTTTGAGTGATCTCTATTCCAATAATTTTTTCCATATATTGCTCTCGTTAATCTGAGCAATCTGCCGGCGGACCTCACATTGAACACCTTCATCAGGGAGCATGCGCAGCTGACGGCGACGAAGTCATGTGCCTGGAGGGCGGCTACGGCGTCTGCGGCGTCTGCGTGTTGCGCGACGAGAAGCGCAGTAAAATCAAAAACAAAAGAACAACAACAACATTATAACTTGACTTTTGCAGTGCCTGACGCTGTTGAATAGCTGCGCGCAGCTGGAGATCGTACGGCGGAGGGGCTGGGCAGCAAGAGCAGCGGCTATCATCCCATACAGAAGCGTCTGGCCAAGCTGAATGGCACCCAATGTGGCTACTGCTCGCCGGGTTTTGTGTACGGTCTGCTGGAAGCGCAGGGGGGACAAGTGAGCATGGCCGACGTGGAGAATGCATTTGGCGGCAACATTTGCCGCTGCACCGGCTACCGGCCCATACTGGATGCCATGAAGTCCTTTGCCGTAGACAGCTGTATTAAGCTGCCGACGGAGTGCATTCCGGCCCAGTGGCATTGGCCACAGTCCTTAAGCCAACTATTCGAGGCCCTGGACCAGGTGGGCGAATAGGAGCAGTTTATGCCTTTCGCGGGCAACACAGCACATGGCGTCTGAACAATTATCATATTTATGGACTGGCGCTGACCGAAATCGAGTTGGACGTGCTCACGGGCAACAATCAGATCAAGCGCGTCGATCTGCTGGAGGATGCCGGCGAGTGCCTCAGTCCCAACATTGAAATTGGCCAGATCGAGGAGGCATTCGTCATTCGGCTCAAGTGAAGCATAATACAGTTGTTTTGTGTGAGCATATTCAGAGGAGGGCAAATATATAAATTGCACATACATACATACACGTATATATGTAAGTAGTTCGGTTGTCTTCATATCTGATAAATTTATTTATACATACTAAAATATGTATGCATGCAAATATACCTATCTTCATTCATTTAAAAATTGATAATGAATTTAAGGAGACTTCTCAGAACTCCATATATACATACAGACATATGTACATATTTATATGTACCCTTGAACAGTATTTGCAAAAGTACTGCGTCTGCTCGAAAATGACAAATATTCGTTGACTACCGCTAAGCGTTATAACTATGTATAATATATTGACAAAGGAAAACTACAAACATATGTACATGTATAAATATTCAAATTGACGTACCACTAACTTCCAATTAGCGTGTTAAAAAAAAACAACTACGACAGACAGTTGCGTGTTATCACGACATTTGCACAACGCACAGAAAAACGCTCAACACATTTGCATTCACTTAAATTGGATTGAACAATCAATTATTATTAGCCATTCACAAATATAATCACTTTTAATAAGTATAAACCTATCATTTTGTTTAAACATTGCAAAATTATTGAAAGCCGAACCGTGAAACTCCAATCAAACTGGCTGCGCTTGCCGGACCGCCGGCTAGCTTCTCTTCCATTTGCACTGATTTTCACTTGTCCTAATAAATATACATATGTGCACTATTTACATTTTCCCTGAGTGTTATTCGAAAACACTAACGACCACTTTTCAATGAATCCTCTACAAATAAAATCCATTTGAATAGTTATAAGTTTGATATATTATCGGATAATTGCAAAACTTTTCGGAGCACGATTGAAAAGCAAAGCGTAAAAATGCAATTAGATCTGGCAACGCTGTGCGTGCCGGCCGGCTTACCCTCTCTTTTGTTCTCGCATGGTGTATGTGTGTGTGTGCAGCAAGCGTTGTAGTTTTTCTTTATTCCGCCGCGGGCTAAAATAAAGTATATTACCTAAAAATTGTCAATTATTTATTATATGGTTAAACTAAATATTTAATCACATTGTTGAGGCAAATTACCAGCTGATTAACAAAATGTACACAAAACGCTTTGCAATTTTAGTGCTTTACAATGGAAGCAAATAATTGCATAGGCCCTCAAACTAAATATGTATGTGTAAATGTACACACATACTTAAACATGTAAAGCTGTTTTATGTACATATGTAAGCAAGTGTATAAATAATTTATTCAATTTGTTTGCATTTGACATTTAAATTGCTTGATTTGCACAAATACTTAGTTACATTAAATTATATATATTCCATGTACATATATATGTTTGTTTATACATACATGTGTATGTACATGTATGTATGAATACTCTCACGCTATTTCCATTTATGGTACAGTTTGTTGCTATTTTTTCAAAGATCGTGACTCTTCACAGACAGCCGGACGACAGACCAAAGCAAACTGAGCAACAACAGCGGGAAAACAAACAAAGCTAGGCGTCGTTAGGCCGCTTGGAACGGCGCAGCAGCGGCTGCCGCACTGCAAAGCTGCAATTAAAGTTGAGCAACAACGAATTTTTTTTAGTTTTATTCAATAGTTGTTAATTGAATTAACAACAACAGCAATATATGTAACCTACAAACATACTCATGCACATACCTATATATTTAAAAAAAAATCGCAACTGCCTAGAAGCAAAGCAAATTTGTTGCCGAACTGGTGAATCGAGAATCAGTTGAAGGCGAACAACCGAAGCGCCAAGAAGCATCAGTAGCAGCTGCAGCAGCAGGAGCAAAGTAACGGGGCACCTCCAACGGATTTATTTTTAGACATAACAACATGACGACCACTTTTACAATCAATGGCAAGCCCTATGAGGGTAAGTTTTGAGTACATGCGACTAGTAAATGCCCTTCATTTGAAAAATGTTTGTGTGTACTTGATTGCCAATTAAGTGATATTGATCGACTAATTTAACGGAAGAAAAATTAACTGAGATATAATAGTTATCGTCGCAGTGCCGAAAATTGAATACCCTTTCTAGCATTTAACAGATTGTGCAGGGAAACAATTCTTAATTTTCGAGTGATCCCTGTTTTCTGCAGTGAATCTGAGCAATCTGCCGGCGGACACCACATTGAGCACCTTTATCAGGGAGCACGCGCAGCTGACGGCGACGAAGTTCATGTGCCTGGAGGGCGGCTGCGGCGTCTGCGTTTGCGTGCTGCGCGACGGGAAGCGCAGTTGGGCGGTCAACTCGGTGAGAAAGGGCATCCACACTACTTAATCAAAAACAAAAACGAACAACAACAATTATAGCCTGACTTTTGCAGTGCCTGACGCTGTTGAATAGCTGCGCGCAGCTGGAGATCGTGACGGCGGAGGGGCTGGGCAACAAGAGCAGCGGCTATCATCCCATACAGAAGCGTTTGGCTAAGCTGAATGGCACCCAGTGTGGCTACTGCTCGCCGGGCTTTGTGATGAACATGTACGGTCTGCTGGAGGCGCAGGGAGGACAAGTGAGCATGGCCGACGTGGAGAATGCATTTGGCGGCAACATTTGCCGCTGCACCGGCTACCGGCCCATACTGGATGCCATGAAGTCCTTTGCCGTAGACAGCTGTATTAAGCTGCCGGCGGAGTGCATGGACATTGAGGACCTGTCAGCGCGTAATTGCCCCAAAACGGGCGAACGCTGTGCCGGCAGCTGTGTGGGCTCCACATTGGTCCACACGGATGGCACCCAGTGGCATTGGCCACAGTCCTTGAGCCAACTATTCGAGGCCCTGGACCAGGTGGGCGACCAGGAGCAGTTTATGCTTGTCGCGGGCAACACAGCACATGGCGTCTATCGGCGTCCACTGGACATTAAACACTTCATCGATCTACGCGCCGTGACAGAGCTGCAGCAGCACAGCAGCGAGCCGCAACAGCTGAAGCTGGGTGCCAATCTCAGCCTCAGTCAGGCCATGGACGTACTGAAAGTTGCCTCCAAGCAGGCGGGCTTCGAGTATCTGCAGCAGTTGTGGACGCATCTGGATCTCATTGCCAATGTGCCCGTGCGCAATGTGAGTTGTGTCGGCGTGCGACACAATCTGCTCGAACTTGAGCTCGAACTCTTCCTCTATTGCAGTCTGGCACTCTAGCGGGCAACTTGTCCATCAAGAAGCAGCATCCCGAGTTCCCATCCGATGTCCACATCTGCTTTGAAGCACTCGATGTGCGTGTCATAGCCTCTAAGAGTGCAACGGATGAGCAGCAATTGTCACTGGCGGACTACTTAAGCTCCAAGGATAGAAAACTCCTGCTCAAGGCATTCCTGCTACCCGCTTATCCCAAGGATAAGTACATATACGAATCATATAAGGTATTTGTGTAACCAAATTGGTTATGAAAATGTTCTCAACGGGCAGATGAATGTCTCTCTGACCCTATAAAGCTTATATATATTCTTGGTCAGCAGAAATAGCCGAGGTGATATAACGGCCTGTTTGTCCGTATGTTTCTTAACGTAGGTCGTCTTAAAGCGCCCAGAACGTTTTTGCTTCCGATGATCGACAACTTATCCCATTTTTAAGCAATCGACAAAAGCCGATATGATAGTCCTGCTCTTTCAGGTTCAAGTTTTTCTCTCAACAGTCAAGAAGAGCAGTTGCCTCCTGGTTACTTTTAAGTTGTTTCTCTAAACAACCACTAGATAGCTTTCTCACTAACTTTTTTCCTCATCCTGCTGCAGATCATGCCACGTGCCCAGAATGCGCATGCCTATGTGAACGCTGCATTTCTACTGGAACTGGACGCGGGCTCGAAGGTGAAGAATGCTCGCATTTGCTTTGGCGGCATTCGGCCGGACTTTGTGCATGCGACTGCCATTGAGCAGCTGCTGGTCGGACGCAATCCCTTTGACAATGCACTGCTGGAGCAGGTGTTTGCTAAGCTGTCGGCGCTGATGCAACCAGATGAGGTGCTACCGGACGCATCGCCCGCGTATCGTTTGAGTCTGGCCTGTGGATTGCTGTACAAGTTTCTGCTGAAGCGGGCGCCCCAAGCGGACGTAAGCGATGCATTCAGAAGCGGTAGCCAGCTGTTGGAACGGCCGCTTTCCTCGGGCACACAGGTATACCAGACGCAGAAGCAATACTATCCCGTGACGCAGGCGGTGCAGAAAGTGGAGGGCATGATTCAGTGCTCAGGCGAGGCGACGTACATGAACGATGTGCTGACTACATCAAATACGGTGCACTGCGCCTTTGTGGGCGCCACCAAGGTGGGAGCTAGCATAGAGCAAATTGATGCGGCGGAGGCACTTCGTCAGCCTGGCGTGCTCGCCTTTTACTGCGCCAAGGACGTGCCCGGAACGAACACGTTCAGTGATCCAAACTTTGGTTACGAGCCGGAGGAGATCTTTTGTGAGACTCGTGTTCGCCACTTCGAGCAGCCCGCGGGCCTGGTGGTGGCTCTGACTGCGGAGTGTGCACAGCGCGCCGCTAAGCTGGTCAAGATCAGCTATGCCCAGCCGGATCCGGCGCGACCAGTGCTGTCCAGCTTAAGTGACGTTTTGGACATGTCACCCTCGCCGGAGGCTTCGCGAATTGTACGTGAGATGACCGCAAAGCCGGGCCAGCTGAAGTGCTCGGCTACGCCGGATAAGAGTGTGCGTGGTGTCTTCCAGATGGGCCTGCAGTACCACTTCAGCATGGAGCCGCAGACAACGGTAGCGGTGCCATTTGAGGATTGCCTCAGGGTCTATTCGGCCACACAGTGGATGGATCACACGCAGTCTGTAATTGCTCACATGCTGCAGCTGAAGGCCAAGGATGTGCAGCTGCAGGTGCGACGCTTGGGTGGCGCCTATGGCTGCAAAATATCGCGCGGCAATCAGGTGGCCTGTGCCGCCTCCCTGGCCGCCTACAAGCTGAATCGACCCGTGCGATTTGTGCAATCGCTGGAGTCCATGATGGATGTGAATGGCAAGCGCTGGGCCTGCCGATCCGACTACCAGTTTCATGTGCTGGCTACTGGCAAAATAGTGGGTCTGGAGAATGATTTCTATGAGGACGCCGGCTGGAATTCCAACGAGAGCCCCATCTCTGGGGAATCCACAAGTACCGCAGCCAATTGTTACGACTTCACCGATGCCAATTACAAGGTTAACGGCAACGCTGTGCTGACGGATGCTCCCAGCTCAACGTGGTGCCGTGCACCTGGCTCTGTTGAAGGCATTGCCATGATGGAGAACATAGTGGAACATGTGGCCTTCGAGGTGGAGCACGATCCGGCGGAGGTGCGGCTGCTCAACCTGGCCAAGGGCCACAAAATGGCAGAGCTCCTTCCACAGTTCTTGCAGTCAAGGGAATATCATCAGCGTCGTAAGGAAATCGAGGCGCACAATGCAAAAAATCGTTGGATCAAACGTGGCTTGGGTCTGGCCTTAATGGACTATCCGATCTTCTACTTTGGCCAGTATCCGGCAACGGTGGCCATTTATCATATAGATGGCACAGTCGTTGTCAGCCATGGCGGCATTGAAATGGGTCAAGGTAGGTTGTTATATGGGTAATTCATGTTGTATCCGGTAGTCAATGGAATGGGTGGTTATGTAATCCCGGGTTACCCACATTCAACTGAATTGATATACCTTTCATTTCCCTCTCCGTTTGACAGGCATGAACACGAAGATTGCACAGGTGGCCGCCTACACATTGGGCATCGAATTGGACCACATCAGAATTGAGTCATCGGACACAATTAATGGCGCCAATTCTATTGTCACCGGCGGTGCTGTGGGCAGCGAAAGCGTCTGCTATGCGGTGCGCAAAGCCTGCGAGACGCTTAACGCGCGACTGCAGCCAGTAAAGAAGGCCAAGGCCACTTGGCAGGAAACGGTGCAGGCGGCCTACGCCGCCTCCATCAATCTGATTGCCTCGGATCATTATAAAAAGGGCGATATGCAGAATTATCATATTTATGGACTGGCGCTGACCGAAATCGAACTGGACGTGCTCACGGGCAACAATCAGATCAAGCGCGTCGATCTGCTGGAGGATGCCGGCGAGAGCCTCAGTCCCAACATTGACATTGGCCAGATCGAGGGGGCATTCGTCATGTGCCTGGGCTACTGGCTCAGCGAGCAGCTGATCTATGATCGCCAGACGGGTCGCCTGCTCACGAATCGCACGTGGAACTACAAGCCGCCGGGCGCCAAGGATATACCCATTGATTTTCGCGTCGAACTTGTGCAGAATCCGCAAGCCAGCAGTGCCGGCTTTATGCGTTCCAAGGCCACGGGCGAGCCACCCTGTTGCCTGGCCGTCAGCGTTGTCTTTGCCCTGCAGCAGGCATTGCAATCGGCCCGAAAGGATGCCGGATTGCCAAGGGAGTGGGTGCGTCTGGGTGCACCCACAACACCCGAAACGTTGCTACTGAATGCTGGACATGATGTCAAAACGTTTAGGCTCAAGTGAAGCAAAAAAAAGTAATGCAAACATACATACATTTCACATGCACATACATACACGTATATAAATATTTGCACAGACGATAGTTTGGATTTCTTTATATCCGATTAATATATTTATACATACAAACAGATGTATGTATCCAAATATACCTACTATCTTTATTCATTCAAAGCCGTGTCATTTTGCCTTGCAGCGGATATTTCAATTTAGTCACAAAAACTGCTAATGCATTTAAGGAGACTTCTCAGAACTTCATGAAGCATATATTTATATGTATTTTTGATCAGAATTGGTTTTCGAGTCGATACAACCATATCCGACTGATTCCAGACAAACTTGGCTCCCAGTTTTGAAGCTCTTTTCTTAGAGATTGGCATATACTCGATATTAAATGGAAATACGAGCATCTGATGGCACCACTTTATTATATAGTTTTCATAATATCGATCGGATAAACTCGTTGTAACACAGTCTTTTTTATACCCTTTATAATTTTGTCTTGAAATGTGTAACGCATAGAAGGAGACATCTCCGACCCCATAAAGTATATATAATCTTGATCAGTATCAACAGCCGAGTCAATATAGCCACATCCGTCTGTCTGTTTCTATGCGAACTAGTCTCTCAGTTGTAAAGCTATCTTAATGAACCTGTGCAGAAGTCCCTCTTTCTGTAGCACGCAGCACATATGTCAAAACCAGCTGGATAGGACTACTATATTATATATGTATATGCCATAGAAACGATCGGTCGAAAACTAGGTTCTTGTATAAATAACTTTTTTTTTTATCAAGACATCTTGACCAAACTCGGCACTAACTTTTTTCCCTGCGCTTCTTAGATGCAGACAAAGCACTATGAGCATTATGAAAATGTTGGGTCTGCAAGGGTATTAAATCTTTTAAATGTTTTCTGGCAAGTGTTAGCAACTCCGAACTTAATAATCTTCTTAATAAACGTCCAAAATTTAATCAAAATAAGTCTGAGTATTATGTGACAATAGCTTCCATTGGAATAATTAGTTTAAAATTGACTTTTTGTATGAAAAACATTTTGGGGTTTTAAGGACATTCAAACTAGTTTTCGGAGCTGTGGGCTCTGAAAATAAAAGAAAACTTTAAAATCGAAATCTTAGCTCCCATGCAATTAATGGGTCGTGTATAGAGTATAGAGTTACAAGAAGCCTACACAAAGTTTTTTTTTATAAATGTTTGTTGTACTGAATCAAAAATACGAATTTCATCTTGACTAAATATCAAATATTTCCCGACACGCGAAACCGGTTGCCGCCAGCCGATTCTCTGTTTTGGTTACTTCCAATTCTCCGAATCGGACGCTCCCCACACGCCGCTAGAGTGGAGCCATGTGCGTCGATTTGTTTAGAAATGAAACCAAAACAAAAAATGCTTATATTAAGAATAGAAGAAAAAAAAACACTTGGCGATAAGCCCGACGACACCTATCGAATTGAAACTGAGCGAGAATGAAAGAGTGAGAGCCCGAACAAGGTGAGCAATTAGAAATGAACTTATGTAGAGAGAGAAAACGATAAAGCTGAAAGCAAAGCACGCGACAACGTAAGCACGATGCCCACTGACAATAAGAATGTTGTACCAAAAACTTAAAATAAATGTACAATTTTTTTAAAAAAATTTATTTTTTGAATTTGAATTTCTTTTTTCTTAAAAATATTTTAATCACAAAATATGAATATATCACACAAGCTTAAATTAAATAATAATAGCCAAACTTTAATTGTTATTACCCAAGCAATTACATATAACAGAGCAAAAAAATAAGCAATACAAGTTTGGTACCATTTTGTAAAATAAATATTCAGTGAGTTGTACCAACGCATTCATAAAGCGACAATTTTTGGTACATTCACAGCACTTGCGGCAAGCGTTAACATAACGCCGTAATTAAAAGACGTAACGTTTCGCACTCTCAGCTGAACTTGGCGAACGTTAACGAACGGGCTCGGGAAATAAATGCGCCGGCCCAGGGGCCAGAAACTACAGTATCGCGGAGATCGGCGTGGACAGAACATTGAGAATAGTTGCGAAACATTGTGAAATACATTCCAGAAAGTTGTTTGATAGTAAAAATAATAGGTGTGCGGTATTATAAATAGATTTACGAAACAATCAAAATACATACACATGTAAAGTGCCATATAAGTTTTTTTGCAGATAAAACGAAAAAACACAGATAATGACGGAAAGTATAACTATCAACGGCGATTGTTATGAAGGTATACAAACATATATGTCTATATACATATGAATGACGACGTATTTTAAGAGTACTTAAATTGTTTAAAGTGGCAAATAGAGTTTTTACACATGCACACATATATATATTGTAGATATATATGTAACCATTAAAAACATACGGTGTTAACGCCTTTTATATAACTTAGAAGATAACAATCTATAGAAAAGTATATTTCAGACTTAGGAGGTCGCTCGAAAACTGTAACTTTTTGAATGGAGAATTCTTCATAATTTAGAAGCTTATTTATTTTGTCAACAGTTTTTCATTACGAATACCCTATTATTTCAGTAGCTAGACATTTGATAATGACAATCGGAATTATTTCTTGACTTGATTTAAGTTAACCTTATCTGAATGCAATCAGTTGCAAGTCACAGAAGGCTATACAATTTTTCATAATCAGAATTATATCATAATTCAAATGAATATTTTTAGGATAATTAGAACTTTTCCTTCGAATACCTTTTTTGCAACTTTTTTATGACATAAATTATGATTCGGTCATAGACCAAGTTTCAAGCTTCACACAGTTAAATACAATATTTATCTGTACCTAGAGAACATTGAGGTTAAGTTAATCTCTACATGTATCAAAAGAATTACGCATTGTGTTTCTATATTAACTGCTTGTTGTTTCCTTTAGTTAATCTGTCGATCCTGCCCGCCGACATCAGCCTGAACACGTTTATACGGGAGCATGCTGGTCTCACAGGCACCAAGTTCATGTGCCAAGAGGGCGGCTGCGGCGTCTGCGTTTGTGCCCTGAGCGGCGTTCATCCGGTGACGGGCGAGCTGTGCACTTGGGCGGTCAACTCCTGCCTGACGCTGCTGAACACCTGCCTGGGCCTGCAGGTGACCACATCGGAGGGTTTGGGCAGCAAGCGCAGGGGCTATCATGCCATACAGCAGCGTCTGGCCAAGATGAATGGCACCCAGTGTGGCTACTGCTCGCCGGGATTTGTGATGAACATGTACGCGCTGCTGGAGTCCCACGGCGGTCGAGTGACCATGGCCGAGGTGGAGAATGCATTTGGCGGCAACATATGCCGCTGCACCGGTTACCGGCCCATACTGGATGCGATGAAGTCCTTTGCCGTGGACAGCAATATTCCGGTGCCGGCGGAGTGTCTGGACATTGAGGATCTGAGCACCAAGCAGTGCCCCAAAACGGGCGAACTCTGCGCCGGCAGCTGCAAGAAGAGCCAGCCAAGAGGCGTTCAGCAATACGCCGATGGTAGTCGCTGGTCCTGGCCGCAGACACTCGCCGAGCTCTTCAAGGCCCTGCACGCGGCGGTCAAGGAGCAGCTACCCTATATGATTGTCGCGGGCAACACGGCGCATGGCATCTACAGACGCAGTGCGGAGATCAAAGCTTTTATCGACGTGCGTGCCCTGGCGGAGCTGAGAGGCTATAGCCTGACTGATAAGTACCTCACCCTGGGCGGCAATCTGAGCCTGACAGAGACCATGGACATATGCCGCAAACTGGAGCAGACCACTGGATTTGAGTACCTGGCCCAGGTGTGGCAACACTTGGATTGGATTGCCAATGTGCCAGTGCGCAATGTAAGTCACGGGGCTGCATTTTGGGTATTATCAGCTTTACCAGGACCGAGTGCACTCGTATCTTATCTAAACTACTTAACAATTCTCTAATCAATTTTTTTTACATTAATGCAGGCCGGCACTCTGGCAGGCAACTTATCTATTAAGCACTCGCACCCCGAGTTCCCCTCCGATGTGTTTATCGTTCTGGAAGCTCTGGAAGCACAGGTTATCGTTCAGGATTCGCCAGAGAAACAGCAAACTGTCAGCCTGGCCAGTTACTTGAAGCTACCCATGGAAGGTAAAATTATTCGTGGATTTGTTCTGCCCGCCTATTCGAAGCAGAATGTCCTGTTCGATTCGTATAAGGTAAGTCTAGATTATTTTGAAGTGAAATTAAATGTTGATAAAAAGTCGTTAATATCATTGTTGAATACTAAGAAGGATCTCTGGCGAAAGCTTGATTCCACTATAAGCTATCCAACTTACCCCAGTTGGGTTTCTTATCCTATTAGAACATTCCTTTAAACAAGCCCTACTTAATCCCTGCCTTCTAGTTAGAGGATAACCTTTCTATTGTCAGATATTAACTATTTTCAAGATCACTTCACCACCACACCAGTAAATATAGGGATATAGCAACATGAGCATTAAAAGCAAACCTTACTCCAAGCTAGTTATAAATGGTAAAACTGAGCTGGTTGTCGTATAGCTAGTTTAAGATCTTCCCAGATCTAACATCATCAGATTTTGCTAGAGTCTCTCGGTATGCAAGCGCCTGTCACCATATAGAAAGTAGTTAAGAGGTGCTTCTATTTGTAAGCAACCACCAGTTAGCTTTCCCTCTAACTTCTTTCCCCATCCCTCTACAGATCATGCCACGTGCCCAGAATGCACATGCCTATGTGAACGCTGCATTTCTCCTGGAACTGGACGCGGGCTCGAAGGTGAAGAATGCTCGCATTTGCTTTGGCGGCATTCGGCCGGACTTTGTACATGCGACTGCCATTGAGCAGCTGCTGATCGGACGCAATCCCTTTGACAATGCACTGCTGGAGCAGGTGTTTGGTAAGCTGTCAACGCTACTGCAGCCGGATGCGGTGCTACCGGACGCGTCGCCTGAATATCGACGCAAGTTAGCCTGTGGTCTGCTGTACAAGTTCCTGGTGAAGGCCGCCGGACAGCGTCAACAGGTGCTGGGCAGTCGCCATATAACTGGCGGCGCCTTGCTGCAGCGGCCTGTGTCGAAGGGCCAGCAAAGTTTCGAGACCTTTGAACAGCATTATCCGGTAACGAAGCCAACGGAGAAGCACGAGGGACTTATTCAGTGCTCGGGCGAGGCAACCTATGCCAACGATCTGCCCACGCAGCACAATCAGGTCTGGGCGGCCTTTGTCACTGCGAAACGTGTGGGCGCCGTGGTCAGCAAGGTGGATGCGACAGCTGCGTTGGCTTTGCCGGGCGTGGTAGCCTATTTGGATGCCAAGGACATACCGGGTCCCAATTCATTGCGTCCCAAGGTGACGGACGATCATTTCTTTCCGCAGGAGGAGCAGATCTTTGCCACGGGCGAAATTAAGTTTTATCAGCAACCCATCGGAATGGTGCTGGCCACATCTAATGCTCTGGCTCAACGTGCCGCGGAGCTCGTGCAGCTGAGCTACGAGGGCGGCTCCGAGGATGTGCTGCCCAGCATGAAGCATGTGCTGGAGGCCGCCGCCTCCGGCGATCGCATTAAGCAGCCGGTCAAATCGATGCACGACAAGCTGCAACTTAGGGTACCGCACGAGGTGAAGGGCAGCGGCAAGCTGGACATGGGCCTGCAGTATCATTATTTCATGGAGCCACAGACGACAGTGGTGTTGCCTTTCGAGGGCGGTCTGCAGGTGTACGCGGCCACTCAGTGGATGGATCTCACACAGGATATCATTGCGAAAGTTTTGAACCTGAAGAGCAACGAGGTGCAGGTGAAGACCCGTCGCATTGGCGGCGGTTATGGTGGCAAAGCCACACGTTGCAACTTGGTTGCGACGGCAGCCGCAGTCGCTGCCCTCAAGCTTAACCGTCCGGTGAGATTTGTGCAAACGCTAGAGTCCATTATGACAACGACCGGAAAGCGTTGGTCCTTCCACTGTGACTATGATTTCTATGTCCAGGCCAATGGCAAGATTGTGGGCCTAGAGAGTCGCTTCTACGAGGATGCCGGCTATCTGACCAATGAGTCGCCCATTGGGCATACGGTGCTGCTGTCGAAGAACTGTTACGAGTTCAGTGACAATTACAAGTTGGATGGCTTTATGGTCATTACGGATTCGCCGACAAATACGCCCTGCCGTGCACCCGGCTCTGTTGAGGGCATTGCCATGATCGAGAATATTATTGAGCATATTGCCTTTGCAACGGGCGTCGATCCGGCAGATGTGCGCTTTGCCAACATATTGCCGGCACACAAAATGGGCGAGATGATGCCCAAATTCCTGAAGAGCACCCTTTACCGGGAGCGCCGTGCCGAAATTATTGCATACAATAAGGAGCATCGTTGGCGCAAGCGCGGCTTGGGCCTGACCATCATGGAGTACCAGATTGGTTACTTTGGACAGTATCCGGCTACGGTGGCTATTTATCACAGCGATGGCACAGTTGTGGTCTCCCATGGCGGCATCGAAATGGGTCAAGGTAGGTAACTTCGGTAGAGCATAGAATAGTCAAGTGCAACTAATATTTCTTTCTCCGCATCTTATTCTTCGTATTCTTTCTAACACCATCAAGGTCAGAGTGACGGCTACTTTATCTGCGCTTCTCATATGAGATAGAAATTAAGGGCACCATCCCCAAATTTAGAAAAGGAGTGCCGAATGGAAACTAAATTCCATTGGTAAAATAAACTCCGTTAGGCGGCTTTAAGTTAGACAAACGGGTAGGAGAAGGGGTCTGACGCGTAGAATACACTATCAGGACGCCCTTTCGACCTTTAGAAGCGTAGGTGATCTCCAAGAAACACGTGAGAAATTGGACAGCAGGGACACCTGGGAGAAGTGTCTGACTTATTCCTACGACCAAGCTGCTTCGAGTCTCTTCATGTCGATATCGTCTTACTCGATAGCTCATTTCATCTCTATAACTTATGCAGAAGTTTTTGTGACGAGAAGTATTTCTGCACATGTGCAGCTCTATGCAGAACTAGTAGCTTCTTGTACTTCCATTTTCGAATTTTTTCCCTGTCTCCGTGTGGAACTTGATGCTTCTTTTTTTTAATTTTAACTAACTTTAAAATGCATGAGAAAATGTACTTTTATTCACGGCCCTTTTAATATAGAATATCCCTTTCTATTTGCCACATTTTGATTCGATTCTGGGATATAATCATAACTTTCTGAAGCATAGTTTTCTCTACTATACGCTTTCTTCTCTCTTGTCTTCCCTTTATTTCCAATCTTTTTATTTATCCTTCTGCCTTTGCAATATTTTTAAATGCTTGTACATGGTCCTTCTAGGTATGAACACGAAGATCGCACAGGTGGTGGCCCATACGCTAGGCATTGCTCTGGAGCAGGTGCGTATTGAGGCCAGCGACACGATCAATGGTGCCAACTCGATGGTCACTGGCGGAGCTGTGGGCAGCGAGACGTTATGCTTTGCCGTGCGTAAAGCTTGCGAGACGCTCAACTCGCGTCTGGCACCGGTCAAGGAGGAGCTGAAGCCGGCGGACTGGCAACAGCTGATCAATGAGGCATATAATCGAAAGATCAATTTAATTGCGAGCGATCAGTGTAAGCAGGGTGATATGGAGCCGTACTCGGTGTGTGGACTAAGCCTCACCGAGGTGGAGCTGGACGTGCTAACGGGTAACTATCTGGTGCAACGTGTGGATCTACTGGAGGATACCGGCGAGAGTCTGAACCCCAATGTGGACATTGGCCAGATTGAGGGCGCCTTTATGATGGGCCTCGGCTACTGGACTAGCGAGCAGGTTGTCGTCGACAAGAAGACGGGCGAATGCCTGACAAATCGCACCTGGAACTACAAGCCGCCGGGCGCCAAGGATATACCCGTTGATCTACGCATCGAGCTGCTGCCCAAGAGCCCCAACAAGGCGGGCTTTATGCGATCAAAGGGTTAGTTGAAGTGTCCTGTTTTTTATATTTTCACTGTAAGATTAATTTAACATTTATTGTTGTGTGTCCTTCTGTCCATAGCTACTGGTGAGCCCGCCATTTGCCTGGCCATATCCGTGGCCTTTGCCCTACAGCAGGCGCTTCAATCTGCGCGTGATGATGCCGGTCTGCCCAAGACCTGGATTACATTAAATGCGCCCATGACGCCAGAGCTGCTGGTGCTATACGCGGGCACCGAACCAGGTCAGCTCAGGCTGAGCTAAGGTCATGCCTCAACGAATTCAGCCCAACTCTACACTCCATTCCATTTTTCCCCATTACGGAAGACCAATTCAAAGACACCGCGTGAGAAACGGCACGTGGCGACGTGAACGCGCGCGATAAGCACAAGCTATATACATATATACACATTGCACACCTTGTTTTATGCACAATAAATTAGAAACTTATCCAACGCAAATCCAAATGACATTCATTGTGAAAGCCCCGGTCCTGGCTTGGGCCAACAGCTTGGCCGGCTATCGTCCAAAGTGGCCAAGTGGCATTTTCTATTTTCCTCTGCTTTTTTTTTTTAATGCCTAACACCTTAACACCCCCTTTCACGAAGCACAACGAGCTCTTCATTAATTTTAAAATACAATTTTTGTAAGGAAATTTTATGCCACACGAAGCGTTAAGTGAATCCTGTCTAACAACAGGGGGTTCTACATCAGGGGTTGCATCGCGAATGACACTGGGTTGGGGGTTACGGTTCGTTTCGTTAGCCAGTTCAAATAGGTTTTTCTTCTTTTTGTAGCTTCGATAGCAGCAACTAGGCTGTTAATGAGCAGAACATTAATTACAATAATGATTGGACTTCAGCGAGATGTATTTCAAATATTAATAAGTGCACTTTAATTATAGCTGGGTTGCATGCATATACATAGTCGATACCCACAGAAAAAAAACGTTGCTTTAGATACTTAATTTGCTTGTTTTATACTTAGAACTCATCCATAGATCTATCTATAGATAACTAAGTTTTAGTTATACGAAGCTTCATTACAATTCGTCTCTATATATGTATAAACCTATTTGTTCTGACTGACTGAGTGATAATCACACAGTCCGAACCATAGGAACTGCATAATTTTGTAGTTTTCTTATGAGGTGAGAGAAATGTATATGATAATAAATTGGGAAATTCCATCCAACCGATCTACTTCTAACTGTTTTTCAAAAACCTTGGTGAAATGTTACATGTTTTACACTTTTCGCAAACGAGGTTTCAGGCTAAAACCAACTTTTATATGAATCTTTTAATTTGTAGAGTGTTTGTCAGTTACAAAGTTCTCACAAAATTAAACCAACAACTCTTTAGCGTTGGGTAGGAGCTCTCCAGTCGAAGAGAATAAAAGGAGCGGAATGCTCCGACTGGTCAGCATGAAACCAAATAGACTTAAAGCCACTTTTCAACACTGATGCCCCTTGCCAGCTGGCCGCCACGCCCACAGACGGGATAGTGCGCCAAAAAAATAACACGCGGCTACGAGAAATGGAAAAATAAAATCAGCGCATACAAAACAAACAGGCATAGGGCACACAAAAAGAGGACAAGGGCAGATGTCCAGAAATACGGGACCGTCGCCGATAATCATAGGACGCATTTGCATATGGACATGGTGCCGGGGCTGCTGTTCGCATGCAAATGAAAACATTAGCGGGACACGCGCATCCACAACTGCTAGTGGCTGCAGATACAGATACAAATACATGTGCAGATAGAGGGTTGCAGATACATTTACAGAAATGCACGGCTGACATTCTGTCTGGCAGACAGGCTTAAATATATATTTCAATTAAAATTTTACACACGAATAAATGCAAAGCCACGCCCAGCACATTAGACCAGGCTCCCTACTCAGCCGCACCCCACCTCATTCGCTGCTCTCCCCTGTCTGGCATTGTGCGACTTGTGTCGCGTTTGTTTATGAGCGTCTGAAGGCCAACATCAGCAGACGCCAGACAGAAGGCAGTGACAATGCCATAAAATGGCGCTGCACATGAGTCCAATTCCGTTCCATGTCCGTGTCCACGGATCAGTCCAGGCTGCCATTGGTTCGGCACAAGGAGTCACCAGTGGCAGCTGCTGATTAAGGGTTAAGTTCCCCGACAAATATTCCACATGGAAACTGCACTCAAAAATTGGCAATGTGACAAAATAGGTGCTAATAATAATCATAGTCTCTTTCATTTTAAATTTCCCTCAGAACAAGTGAGTAAGAGAGAATGTTTGAAAAACACTATAAAAATCAGTGCAGGCAGTGAAACGATTATGAAAACACCTTAAATTTAATCCAAGCAGTCAGTGGAACATTTACGAATGGAAAACACGTTTACGAATAGAGAATGTGACACAGAGAAGAAATGGAAAGTTTGTTGCGCCTAAACGCATTTTGTCCAGAGATTAAGAGCATCAACAATGTTTAATAATAATAATAACAATAATAATAATAATAATAATAATAATAATAATAATAATAATAATGATAATAATAATAATAATAATAATAATAATAATAATAATAATAATAATAATAATAATAATAATAATAATAATAATAATAATAATAATAATAATAATATTAATAATAATAATAATAATAATAACAATAATAATAATAATTAAAATAATAGTAAAAATAATAATAATAATAATAATAATAATAATCACAGTTCGTGTGAAATACAGAAATTGGCATTACCTGACTGTCGAATACGCTCACTTGCATTTGATTCTGCCCCGTACAGCTTCTTAAATTAAAGCCTTATTACAGTCGACTGTTTCAATTCAGCTTAATTTTATACAAATTATCAACTGATGAAGAGAAAATTATAATGGCGTTGCCAGACCGTCGAATACGCTAGCTTGTCTCAGCAGCAGCTATAATTTGAAAAGCTACCAACGAAAAGGTTTCCATTTCAAGCACGTTCACAATGGACATCCTGAACTTGAACTTGGCAACTGTAATAATAATGTGCGCTTGGGAGCGGCCCCAAAACTTGCAACTGGGGCTCACTTTTGCATAACTGCAGCTTCCACTTTTCTTTCTCCAACTATTTTCTGTCCATTTCCTTTTCAACCACCCCATCCTATGGTGCTATTGTCTGTGCCATGCATTTCAAATTCTAAGCAAATTTGTCGTCTGGGGGTGCCGGGCGCAACATTTTATGAGCGTGTGCGCGATGCAGCGAGTCAGATATGGCCAGAAACCGTCTGCTTCTGCACCAACTGCTCCAGTTTCTGCAGCGAAAGGAGCTGCAGTGGGGATGGGTTGGGTTGGAATGGCTCTGACTATGTCTGCCCGTGGCACACACACAAAGATGTCCTGGTGTGATTTATCGCCGGCGTTGCCAGGATAATGGCCACGTATTATAATAATGCCGCGCCATGGCGTATGCTTATCGCTGTCGAGGACGCAACGTCAACGTCTAGACGTCCTGCGGTGCAGCCTGGACAAGGATATTGCGAGGTTCTCGTAACTCTCAGAGCTCGCCGCTTTTTCGTGGCAAGCATTTGCATTCGTATTGCAGTTTATTAAATAGAAAAATCCAAAATTAAGTACATCATTTTAGTTGAGTTTCTTGTTGATGCCGTGTGCGAGTGTGTGAGTGTGTGTGCATGTGCATGTGTCTGGCGCATATCCTGTGGGCAACATAATTTACAGGCCCTGCATGAAAGCCGTTGTTAAATTTTACGCCGCAACGAACGTCTTTGGCCAACAGACGGACCCGATTCGTGAGCCAAATACATAAAATTTACGCAAACCCAAACATGCAATATATATATGTCCACATATATGCGAGCGTGTATGTGTACCTATGTGTATCCTTTCGCCATATCCTTTTCCACTTAATGCCAACTGCAATAGACACACAGACAAATGCAATACGTAGACATACGATTTCATAGTTTGTATGCACATAGTTCATAATACATGTCATTAAAATTTCGTTCTGGCCGTGCATGTCCTTGCCATTGCCTTTGTTATTCTGCGTTGACGCTCGTTATGTGCCCGGGTAAAAGCAAGCAAATGCTCCCAAGTGTCTGGCCAAACAATGATAGTTTAAGTCCAGCAAACAGAACCTGGGCCAAGTGTGCAGCTATTTTCAAGTTTATTTATTCAATTCAAGAATTTGCCTCACTTTTTTGTGCATACGCTTAAAAATACGAGTGTGAAAAATCGGACCAACCAATTAAAATCTGTGGAAGCATTTCCTTTAGGAATTTTTACTATATTCATTCCTTTAGTTTGAACATAAAAGGAATTCCAAGATGTATATGTTTGCTTTCTTGTTATGTTTAAAATGTACAGAAATAAACAATAAGCTTTAGTTGTTTTATATTTAAATACATTCCCTTACATTGCGTGCATGACGCTTCTTATAATTCGCAGCTTGTTAAGCCAATCTTTTCCAATTCCAGAGCCAATGAATCCGCATCGGTCATATTAAAATCCCACATAGACAAGGACACCATTTCACTGTATTTCAAATGTTTGGGCTCAACAATTCGATTGCAAACTGAAATATCAGTTTTGACACTATACAAAGGCTTGGTTGTAGGCCCAAAGGCCATATGCTGCCAAGCATATAACCAATTCGCCCTTGGCCATAAGGCTGCAGATGTATTGTTATAAAAAAAAATAAACTAAATAAATTTCAAACTTACCATATGTGCTTAAAGTAGCAAATGAGCTAACAGCCTGGGCCAGCTGCTGATTTAAACTTAATTCGTTAACCATTTTAGCTGGAAGAGAAATTAGTTATTAAAGTTGCGAGTATAAAACTTACAAGCTATGAGACCTGCTCTCAAAAATCAGTTCAATTTCATCCAGAAAAATTGATGTATTTGCGATTTAAGATTCGAGCACTTTAGGCGTTTTTATTTATGTATTATTTATTATATTGACAGAAAAGTCAAGACTATAAATACAAGACATTTAAAATACCTCAGAACTATTTGCACACCGGCTGGGGATTTTAATTAAATTTAAGTCCAAATGGGACTTAATAACCAATCGCTTCGACCATTATTAAAATATGTACGCAATATTCGATTTTTCAATAACAAATCCAGCTTGGGCCACGCTGCAGCAAAGTCCCGCGCCACGGCCCAGACAAATGCCGTCACGGTGAAGCGACAGTAAGGATTCCGGCAGGGGCAAAGGCAAAGGCAACGTTAACAGCAACGGCCAGCGACAGCAGCCGTAACTCAATCTGGAAATATGCAAAAAGGAATACCCAACCAGACGCACTGCCTCAGGACAATGATAGCAGGATTTGCAAAAAAAAAAAAAATATTAAAAAAACCATTGTCATTTGTTATACCCTACACAGGCAGCGCAATGTGCATATTCACATATGCTTTACTTTTACACTGCCATTTAAAATTCGTTCTGGTTTTGCTTTCCAATAACTATGAAAGGACGACTCTTGCCTTGATTACTTTATTTACGAAATTTAGAATACATTTTTGGAGCAATTGAATGTTATTTTTATTTACATATGTCATATGAAATATGTATGTACACTTTTTTATTCAACTTGCTTTTATTCACCTCCATTTGCAAATATTAACTCGGGTTTAATGCCAAACAAAACACATTTATTTCATTTGTGGAATTTTAATTGTGTTATTATAATAATGAACTCTTATTTGTTTTTTTTTTTTTTTGTAAGCAACAGAGTTCTGTCGAATAAATTCAACTATTTTGGCACATGCATCTCTATGATCCTTTTCTACATAAAATTTGATAGATATTTATTTATTTTTTGTTTGTGAACAAGTATTTTTTTCTTTAAATAAATATTTTATTGTGCATACTTTGCACAACATGTCCAAGTATATGGAATGCCGCACCGCAGAATAATCTACTTGCGTTTTTCTTGGGTATTTAAGTAGTTAAAAAAAAATAAAATTAACGCAGCAAGTTGATGGACGCATCTTTTGGCTGGCCAATAATTAAATCAATTTAATGCCCGCGTTGCAGACGCCACACACTTTTCGATTTCCATTTCCCCTGAGCTCGTCCCTCGGCCCTTTTCCGCGGCACTCATCACACAATTCACAACGCCCGCAATCCACCAAAAATAAAAATGAAATCAATTATGTCGAAACTTTTTGAGCGTTCGCACCGCCGGCTATGTTGTAATTAATACAAAATGCTATGGACGAGAGTCTGCGCCGTCAGCTCCCATTCGCGCCCTTACCGCGGCACGACATGTACACTGCCTCGAGCCCAGGGCATGCCAGAAGTTGAGTACTTACCCCAAACTCAATTTGAGAAAAAATTTCATTTGCGATTGGCATCACCAATGCGGTACTCCGTACACCATGCCCCGTGCCCCGCGCCCCGTGCCCCATGCTCTCCGCTCTGGGCCTCATTGTCAGCCTCGTGTGAGTGGACAGTTGGTGCCTGTTGTGCAGGACCTGCGCTGCTCTGCTCTGCTCTTTTCTGCTCTGTTCTGGCCTGTGCCAATTGTTGTGTTTATTAATTTAATTTGACAGTCGCGCCCCACGTACGACTGGCTGCAGCCTCGAGGCATCATCCACAGAAGCTGTGGACTTTTGCGGTTCGAGCGCGGCTTTTCCATTAAACACTTTTCCCTCACTTTTTTGGGGGGGTTTCGGCGGTTAGCCTAAATGTGCTGATTTGATAAGAGATAATTCTTGGTTTCAGGCAGCACTCGGAAATTAAACGGAAAAATACAACAAGAAAGAGGTTCTAGTCGAGAGTTCCCGACTAGGGGATACCCTGAACCCTCTTCTTCCAACATCAAATGCATATATATATTCCATTTTAGAAGCTATATGTCAAGTTTGGTGACTCTTGCTCTTATTATTTACCGAAATTGCCCAAAAAATATCGATATCGATTGCTTGGAAACGGAGTAAGTTATCGATTATCGGAAACAAACTCGATCTGCGCGGGAACTACATCTCAAGTCTCTAACTCTTTTAGGTTCTAAGAGTCTTGCGTTCATATATACGGACGGACGTACGGACAACAAGGCGGACATGGCTAGATCGACTCGGCTGTTGATGCTGATCAAGAATATAGATATACTTGATCAGCTCGGAGATGCTTACTTCTGCCTGTTACATACATTTCACAAATACATTATACCCTTTTTACCAATATTCAATAGGTTCAGGGTATAAAAATATAGAGTACATGCTTGTCTATTTTTTGAATATATATAGAGCAAAGAGTATTGGCGTGCTGTCATTACTATCTTAACTTTTCTATTTATGGTAAAAGTTTACGTTTTTTGCAAGCTTAGCGTACTAAAGGAAATATTTCCATTTATGGATTTATTTAATATTTTTAACAGGTCAAGAGCACTAAATGAAACATTTATTTAGAATTCAGCAAGTTTGCGATATATTTGCGTCATAAAAGGCAACGCCATATAAGGCTTGAAAAATATCTTGCTCAAATATTTGGCAATATCTAATTATGGCAATTTTAAGCTTTATCTCAAACTGTAATTTAGCTCTAGGTTAATAACCCACGTCATTGCAAAAAATTAAAGAGGTTAGTCCGCTTAAATATTTAAAAAAATTCTAAATATAAAGAACACTTTTTTTATAAAAGTAAGTGTTTTAATTTTTTAGATTACCCGGGTTGGCCTTTTGAAAAGTTGGCCGTGGGGGACCATCCTCGAGGCTGCGCCTATCTTTGAATCTTGTCAGCTTTTCACTTTGAAAGTAATTTTCTTTTTTGTTTACAGAACGTATTTCTTACTTCAAAAACATTTTTATATTTATTTTCATAGAACTTTTAAAATAATTCAATTATATATATGCTCCAGAGCTGAGTGTAACAGGAAGACTAAAGTAGTTATCATGTCCATTACTGGTATTGGCTTAAGGCAAGGCTTCGTGGATTTAAGGAAATCACGAACTATGATAGAATTACTCATTTGAATCTATATCATTAAATTCGATTGCTTCCTTCTTCTATCAATATTATAATTCTAACGTTCAATGTTTAAGCACGTGCCATTGGTTCCACTTCCACGCATTCGTTTGCTAATTAAATGCTAAGTGGATATTCATAATCACGCAATCCCAGGAGACGGCGGATCATTGATTTGCCTCGCAGAGTTAGTTACATGAAATGCTTAATAAATCAACAAAGACAGTGGTAGTAAATGTGAATACATGCCGAAACTTAAATACTCTTACTTCAAATTTATGTTGCGAAAAGCAAGTATTCAATTTTCTTTTATTACATATCATTATGTGGTAAATTTAAATAAGTTGATCCAACAAACGTTGCCTACCGATAACAATAATCTTTAACCGTAATCCAAATAAGCTTTGAATATTATTTGAAGCAATATTTACTGAGATCACCCATTCAATTATTGCAAGCTATTAAACAAGTTCTCGATAATATATTTTATCATCACCTCTTTAGTTATTTTAAGCTGTATAAAAGTCGTCGGTCCCGTTGATCGATAACCAAGTCGCCAAATATCTATATCGATTCAAATCACCTTTTTAATTATTTTAACTTATATAACAAGTAATCGGTTTCTGTTATTGATTACATGTTCCATATGATCAATGAAAATAAATAAAGGTTATTAAATTCACCTGTTTAATTATTTATCGTCATATATCAAGTTATCGGTTACAGTAATCGATAACAGTTGCAGAGAATATGTGTTTGCATAGCAAAATATTTATTATTGGATTATTGTATTTTATGGCAACTACCTCCCCTCATATTTTACAAAACAGTTTATTAAACGAGCTGACAAGCTGGACATCAATTGCAGTGGGATTCAGGCAATAGAAAGTGTATAAGGTGCAATTTGTTGTAAATTTGCAAGGCATTTAGCATTGATTGGGCGGCTTTGAGGTAGGTAGATGCCAGATACCGGTTGCCAGTTGCCAGATAGGTGGCTGGCCAAGTCATAAAGCCAGGGCCAACACTTTTAGTTAACAGCGCATGTGGTTGGGACATTTGTCAACGGCAGCGACGTGTCGGCAACTTCAACGCCAACGCAAAAGACGTCAACAGCGACACGTTTTAAATGTTGCTACACCGCCCCTCCCCCACCCAGCCACGCTTGCACCCCGCGCAATCTGCGTGGCGCCCACCTTGTGCAGTTTTGTGAAAAACTATAAACAATTTATGCGTTTGGGATGTCTACTACGCTGCCTGCCACAGCTTTAACTAGGCCCCTCTCTCTCTTTCTCTCTCTCTGGCAACATGCAGCGCATGCCAAGCGCCTTTGCATTTGCTGTCAATTGCGTTGGGGCAGTGGCAAGGTTTGTCGGAGCTGGGCAGGGAGAAAAGAAGAGAGACTTGTAGTCGTATTGCATTACGGTTGCCTAAGGGCATGAGGAAGAGGGGAGTTATGGAAGGGGGTGGTAGTAGCAACATTGTGAACTAGTTTTTGATTTGTCTGCAACTGGGCAACTTTGTTGCACATTGTTGCACTTGAACTTATGCCCCACGGTTATATTCGGGGCTAATTATTCGCCAGGCACTCTTGGGCAACTTTGTTTGCGCCGCTCGTATAATTTACAAAATTTGCAAACACCAACAACAACAACAACAAGAACAACAAGAGCAACGGCAACAGCAACAACGACCCTCGTCGAAAGTTTAACAAGTGTTAACTTTGCCATTTTCATTCTCATTTTCATTTCTTTGGTTTTATTCATTTTGCCAGATAAGCGCCAAAGCGCAACGAGCCAGCGGAAAACACAATAGCAAAAGAGCCGTCTGTAGTGAGGGGTGAGGTGGGGCTGGTTGAGTAGGGGCTTGCCTCATAGTGGGGCGTGCGATTTGTGGCAGCTGCTGCTTCTGTTGATGCTGTGGCAAGCAACTTGAGCCAAATAATTTTAAATGACCGCAAGTGTGTAATTAAAGTGCA